TTTTCATTTAGAATATTCTCAATTTGAAACTGAAAACCTCAAATTCAATTGAAATTTTCGCAATATAAAATGGAAATTCTTAATTTTATTTAGAATTCTCTCAATTTAAATTCTCAATTCAATTTAGAATTTTATCAACATCACAGTAAAATTTTATTTGGATTTTTCCCAATTTTAAATTAAAATTCTTAATTTGATTCGGAATTTTCTAAATTTCAAATTGAAAATCACAATTTTAATTCGAATTTTCTTAATATGAAATGGAAATTCTCAATTTCATGTGGATTTTTCTCGATTTAATACGTAATGTTCTCAATTTCACTTAAAAATGGTGTAGACTTTAGACTAGACTATAGACTAGAGTCTAGTCTAAAGTCTAATCTATAGTCTATTCTATAGTCTAGTCACTAGACTATAGAATAGACTATAAACTAGAGGGGCATTTCAAAAATTTTCGAGCAGGTTTTATAATTTAACCTCTCCGATTTCGATGAAATTCGGTACACACATTCTTCATGTAAATACGGAATTTGAAATTCTCCAAAATTTCTATATCTTATATATTGTTGAGTACACAATAAGCAATCTTATATGAAGGAATAAAGAAAATGAAAGGTAAATTTTTTGAGATATCCTTGACTAAAGGACGTTGTTTGATGTCATCATCCTCACGTTAAAAATGTAATATTTAAAAAAAAAAATATTGGGGACTAAACGATTAAAATCGGACAAATAATTAAGAAAATATACGTGAAATTTAATACTTGTTGAAAAAAATTCAAAATCCTACTTTTTTGTTCGAAAATTTTTGAAATTACCCTATATATAGTATGTTGTTGACAACCAATTAATAACAAAATAAACAACAAAAATAATAATTATCTTTAATTTACGCAATTACTTAAATTTCTATTAAATGTCACAACTACTTTGTCTCAGATATCTATTTTATAAAAAATAAAATAAAACCAGTCATTTTAGCGACTATTTACATTTTCGAATGAGGTGATAACACCCTTTTTCAGAAAATAAACAAAGATAACAGCAGTTCTTTGACGCTGTTTGATCTTACATTTAGTTTGCAAGATCAAATAATTATTTTGCCAAAATAATGTAAATTATTTGACTTTTGGTGTTCACATTGATGAAACAATGAAAAAATATTTATTTGCCAGCAAATCAATTTGTGTTATGAAAATCATCCGCATTGCCGTTTGTAAACATGAAATATTTTATGTTCAGATTCGACTAGGGTTGCCAGATTCCGATTCGCAAAAAGCTGGACATCGGGTTTTAAAAAGCTGGACAAAACAAAAAAAGCTGGACATAAAAAAATATCGAGAAAATGTTAATTTTGGTTTTGTGTAAATAATTTCACAGTGATACACCAAAAAAATGCAGAGGTTCTCATTGCCAATTCCGTTTTGTTATAGTCCATATAGTACGAATATATTTTTAGTTTTCCCCGATCACTTCGTTAACTTAGCGTTTAAGAGCAAAAGATGTGAAAAAGCTCCATTTTTGAAGTTTTAAATTTTAAAAATATGTCTTTTCGCGTACTTTCCTGTAAGAAATATCCTGTAACTTTATGATAGAGAGTAACTTTTAATTTACTCTCAATCAAAAAAATATCCAAAAAAGTACGCGAAAGCCTATTTTTTAAAAAAATGTGCAAGTTTTTGTTTATAAACAAAATCTCAATCGCTAACAAAACACTAAAAAACAAATAACTGAAACTTTGATTTTTCTTATAAATAAATAGATATTTATTAAGTATCATTAAAACTATATTATTGTTTTAAAACTTTATGATACAAACATATTATTAAAATAAAAATTTACACAAAATCGCTAAGAGATAGACAAACTAAATTGTTTTAAAAACGCTAGATTTACAATATTTGTTATGATTTTTGACAACAAATAAACTTTTTTAAAAACTAATTTATGATAAATGAAATTAAAATAAATCTAACTACAAATAATTTTTTTAATATTCGTGTGTAATTAATTTGTATATTTCTTTAAAAAAAATTAAAATTGACCAAATTTTCGATTTCTTTGGTTTGTTTACATATTCATAAATCAAACATATGTTGTGAATATAAGTTGGATATTTTTTACTGGGGAAAAAATATCTAGTAAAATCAAAAAATTCTTTATCAACGAACTGTAATTTTTATACCCTTCACCTTCGTGAGAAGGGTATATATAAGTTTGTCATTCCGTTTGTAATTTCTATAATATAATTTTCCGACCCCATAAAGTATATATATTCTGGATCCTTATAGGTAGCGGAGTTGATTAAGCTATGTCCGTCTGTCTGTCTGTCTGTCTGTCCGTCTGTGTGTTTGTTGAAATCAGTTTTTAGAGGACCCCAGATATCGGCGAGATCCGAATCTTCAATAATTCTGTTAGACATGCTTTCGAGAAGATCGCTATTTAAAATCAGCAAAATCGGTCCATAAATACCGGAGATATGAGCAAATATCCGAGGCAACCTCTGAAAATTTCATAAAAAAGACAATTTTTTTCATGCTTTGATATAAGCAACAACAACAACACTGCTTATTCATTGAGTATTTCGTTTCATATGTTTGGATAGCTGTGTTTTTCATTGCCGTGTGTATATTGTTTTTGTTTTTTGGTGTATTCAGTTTCGTATGTTTGGATGTCTGTTGGTTTAATTGCGTTGTGTATTTTGTTTTTGTTTTTTTTTATATATTTCGTTTGGTATGTTTGGATGTCTGTTGGTTTTACTGCCTTGTGTATTTTGTTTTTTTGTGTGTTTATTTCGTTTAGCGTTGTTGTTGTTCGTTTTGCTATTGCTATAATAATGATATAAACGGGAACATGAAATAAATTAAAATTTTATAGAATTGATATTTTTTAAATACACTGTGGTGAAGGGTATATAAGATTCGGCACAGCCGAATATAGCACTCTTACTTGTTATCGCTCTCTTACTCTCTCGTTGCAAGTTTTCAAAAGTACGCGAACGGAATCCAATAACAATTGTTGCAAATTGTTACAAATTATCGAGTACGCGAACAGACCTAATATTTATTGCGACATCAGCTGTTCAAGTGTTGAGACATGATGATAGAAAAGGGAAATCATAACTTAGTTGTATAACAAATGTACAATAAGTGTTGGCTTACATGATTTGACAAAGATAACATAAAAATTATTGCAGTGTACTAAAAAAATTATATTTAGCTGGACAAATTAAATTTTAGCTTGAAACTGGACAAGCATCAAAAAAGCTGGACAATCCAGCCAAGTCCAGCCAGGCTGGCAACCCTAGATTCGACAAACAAAGTTTTTTCAATCGTGTTATATATTAATATTATACACTTTTATTATATAAATTTAATTTTAAACCTAATAAAAATAGTGAAAATTAAAACAAATTGGTAAATTGGTTTTTTCTTGTATTTAATTATATGATATACTGTGGCTGTAAAACATGTGTATGTTTGAATCAAATTATTTTTGCACTGTTTGATAAAACAATACCATCAAATATTTGTTCAAGTCTGAACATGAAATTAATATTGCGTTTGTTTGACGCAACTTCAAAAATATTTTATTACAAATATTTGGACCAAATATTTTTCAGGTGTGAACGTAGCTTAACACTTCACAAATCCTGTTTGGAAGCGATTCATATAGCTTGGCCATATAATTCAGATGTATTGAGCTCCAGACTTCTTATTAGATTAGTTCAGGAATTGTTGAATACTGTTTTCCATACTCATAAACTTTTCGGGCAAGCCATCCCCACAAGTTTTCTATAATGTTTAAATCTGGCGAATTTGGAAGCCAGTTCAACAATTCAACATTTTGGGCCACTATATCAGATTTTACGATCCCGGCAGTGTGGATCGGGGCGTTATCTTGTTGTAGGATAAAAGGGCTAGGTCCATATAGGTCATTGACAACCAAAAAAAGCCTTTTATTATTAATCCAATGTAGTTCTTAGCATTTATTCTTGGGCTTAAAAACTGAAGCTTGGAGGTGCCATAATAGGAAATTGCTCGCCATACCTTGACGCCGACAACACAGCTATGTAGACGATCCATATAATGTGGATCCTTCCGAAGGTCATGAAAATAGTACCTACATAGCAGTGTTGGCGGTGTTGAATGTTGAACTGGCTTCCAAATTTCGAAAAGTTTATGAGTCTGAAAAACAGTATTCAAAAATTCCTGAACTAATCTATGCAATTAAAAAAGTCTGGAGCTCAATACATCTGAATTACATGGCCAAGATATATGAATCGCTTCCAAACAGGATTTGTGAAGTGTTAGTCAATCAAGGAGGTTCAACGCATTACTAAAATAGCTTAGTTTAATTTTTAACGTTGTAAATAATCTAAATAAATAAGTTTTAATTACAAAAATTTTTATAAAATCACTTTTTCTGTGAGATGTTCTATTCAGGTGGCGAATTTTAACCAGTAGCTTTTTTCGGTTAATTTACAAAAAATATATATAAAATCAAATATTACAGATATGACAACCATTCATATCACATTTTATTCAGAACCAAAAATATTATAATGAGGGGAAGAAACAAGTTTCTAGAATTTCCTGATCCAATATTATAAGCTTTAAAAAAAAATTGATATACGTGCTATTCAAGTGGCGAGGAATGTATATACATCAAATCCGAATAAATACATTTTTTATCAAAAAACGAAATATGTTTTGCAGCTCTTTAAATATTGACGATAGAAAAACTATTTTTAGAAATTGCATCTTAGAATGAAAAAAATTTGTTCGTCGGGAACATCAGACACTTCTATTTGAGGTCACCCTAATGTACATACATATGTATTTAGCTTTAGTCTTGGAAATATTATTTTATTGTTATTAACACTACCAAATTTTTATAAATTTGTGTTTTCTTTTTATTAAATTGTATTGTAAATAATATATGAATTTAAAAATAATCGTATTGTATTATAATTATTGTTTTTAATTTTTATCATTTAGCTAATGACGTACCAACCCAACAGCCTCTGTTGTATATACAACCATCAGGTGCAGGTCAACAAGGTTTTATAAATTTTGCTGGTAGCTTTATACCTAATACCGCACAATCGTCTCATACTCAGCAACAAATCGTCAATACGAATTCTCAAACAGCTGCAATGTCAGCCGCAGCGCAAGGTTATACTGTCATGTTTAATCCGCAATTAACCATGTCAACACAAGCACAGAACACCGCTACATTGCAGCAACATATAAGCTCGCCTTACATATTAACAAGTCAAAATATACAACAGCAACTACAGATTCCTGCTAAACAATTTCACCCATCTTCAGTTATACAACAAAATTCGGCAGATACTACACATAACCATCCGTTAGTTAGCCACACTACATCTGGAGCCACAGAAGTTAATTGTGAGTGAAATTAATGTTAAATTATATTTTAATTCAATCTTTTTTTAACTTAATCTTATATTGCTCTTAAATTCATTGGCAAGATTATATTACACTAGCTTTTGGTACCCGGCGTTGAAAGGATTTCATAATATAACGTTTATATGTAGTCAATGTATCCAAATGAATGTTGACTTTACTGACCCTAAAATTATGAATTTCTACATATTAAAATATGCATTCTAAATATATAAATTTTTTTTAGTTGCATCTAATTACAAAATTTTCATTGATTTAGAAAAACTTTCACAAAATTTATTTTAGAAAATATACAATTCTCCTTTTTATACCCACCATAAGAAGAGATTGGGGGTATATTGATTTTGTCATAGCGGGCGTAACACATCGAAGTATTGCTCATAGACCCCATAAATTATGGCAATGTTTTCAAAAATGTCAGGAGTATACTTCATTCAATTAAACGGATTCATAAAAAATACAATAGTGTATTTTTATGCCCACCATCAAAAAAGATGAGGGGTATATTGTTTTTGTCATTCCGTTTGTAACACATCGAAATATTGGTCATAGACCCACAAAAGTATATATGTATATTCTGGGTCCTTATTAAATTTTAAGACGATCTAGCAATGTCCGTCCCGACCCCCTTCTGAAAATTACTTTAACGCTCATTTCTGGCTTAAAAATACAAATATAGCGATGAAATTCGACTGAAGTAAGTTCCTTGCGAGCCAAAATCTCTTAACCAAATTTTATGTGGATCGGTCTATTATTGACCCGACCTTCCTATAAGGTCCCCTTCAGAAAATTACTCTAACGCTCATTATGGCTTAAAAGAAATTTACTTTAATGCTCTAATATACTATTAAGTTTCTCGCCTTCAGAAAAGAGTTTTGGTTATTAAAATATGAGTTTTCCTTATTTAAAATACGAGTTTTGCGATGAAATTTGACATAAACAAGTTCTATACAAAATGAAACCTTTGTACACAATTTTATGACTATCCGTTCATAATTGGCGCATATTAAGGTCCTCTTCAGAAAATTACTCATACGCTCACGGTTTAAAAATTGACCAAAAAAATGGTTTTTAAAAAATTAATATTTTGTTAGTTCAAAAGAGCTTGGTCCATAATTGACTTAAGCCATATTCCAAATATCACCCTGATGTTTACAGGGGAGCATTCCTTTTACGGCATATGGTAGACGTTTTGATGGTGGTTATATGAGATTCGGCACAGCCGAATATAAATAACACTCTCACTTGTTTTATATTATAAAATATACAAACGGGAATTGGGTGCAAAAGTCCAAAAATTATTTTAAATTACTTTTTCATCAATTGAAACTAGTTTGGCGATATTTGGCGAATTTTTTCTTATAAAAATCTGAACAGAATTGAATTGGCGATTTTTTACGATTTCTGATATATAATTCGACTGTCCACTCTCTTGTGTACAGTAAAGTGGCGACTGATTACGAAGAGTACTTTAGTGACGAAAAACATTCAAATAGGGTACAATCAGCTGGTCAATTGTATATATAATAACAATTGTGTCTCCAATAGATGTGTAAAATATCTACATTCTGAAGTACAATGGAAAAAAAAAACAATTTTTAAGTGTAAAGTGACGACTGTCTTCGCTCTCGTTGTTGCCGAATAACCCAGTATATAGAAATTAGGGTCAACCATATGGTTACACATTAGTTTAAATGACTGTCTTTTACGTATGCATTGACTCTTTGCTTTGTCGAACTGCTGGGTTCAATAAACATAACAAATTCCGTATAATAACATAGTGTTACTGAACAAACAACAAGTTTTAATGTTCAGTTGACTTAATTAGTCATACTAACAAGTCGAACTAATATTCATTTTACGTCCCCTAGTTAGAAAACGAAACCAAGAACTAAGCAATACGTAAGCAGCCAGTGAAAAGCTACGTTCAGACCTGTAAATTATTTGATCCAAATACAGTGGTAGACATTCGTTTGTACGCAATATATTTTTTTAACTTTTGAAAGAAAGTAAATAGTGTTTTAAGAAAAAAGGTTTGCGAAATAGTTTGATACTATCTTCGTTACAAAATTATAATATAAAATTGTAATATTATTTGCTCTATTAGCAATTCCAGAGAAAAAAATCAAATTTGTCTGAGACATTCGTTTGTACGCACTTTACATAATTTATAATAACCATAAAAATGATTTGTACATTTCTCTTTTTCTTATCATAACATTTAGTAGGACCTCCATAATTGTTACTGACATAATAGATTTCATTAGATTTTGGATAGGTCAATTTTTAAAGCGCTTCAAAAAGAATTTCCGAAGGTCATGCTTAAAAAATTTTTTATGTTATTTAAATGCTAAAAAAGTATGTTTTTTTGTTTATAAATCTTTTCAGCTATGATTTTAAGAATGATTTTGATTGGTTGTGTCTTAAAATTCCGCCTGGTTAAGGAAGAGAATAAAAATATTTGTCGGAAAATCAATCCAAACCCTTGTCAAATACCCATTTTTGGATAGAAATTGTATCTCGAGTCGCAATTTTTCATTATTTTTTCTGCTAAACAGTCTTGTAATGAATCAAAGAATATTCCAAATCTAGTTTTGGGTGAAAAAATTCTGATGGAAATTTGAAATTTGTATAAGAAACATGTCTAATGCACCACAATTTCCCAATCGAAATGTAATTTGTACTTCTAGCGGCGTTTTGGTTCAATTCGCACAATACGTTATTGTAACGACTTAGATAATATAAGTTTAACTTATTTTCACTTGAAAATATTAACTTTTAGAAGTTATTCATATCCGATATCGGGCCGTATGGAGAGTGCAGTTTTCTCTCCTTATGAATCTTAATAAATCTTGGTTTACAAGCAATTCTTAACACAGTAATGACTAAATCAAGGATAAAGGAATGATAATAGATCTTTTATTGCAAGGAGTATAATTTTTGTCTTTATTTCATTAAGAAAATAGGGATTTTGTGTCATAATTTTTAGTTTTTTTGTAACATTACTCTTGTAAAATCGAGTAAGGAAGCCTTTTTTTAACAGTTTTCATAGTTTTATGCTATTTTTAATACAGCATGAGTATCTATTACGAAATATTAAAAAATCTTGTTCAAAATAATTCAAAATTTTGACATTTTGATAAAATATTTCCTAATTTAGCTTCGACAGCGGTCAAATCGCAATTTCTACAAATAATATATCTTTATAAAGATTTTTATAATTCGTATGGCTATAAAATATATTAATTTTATATCTAAACCCCCAATACTCGCTCAAAAGAATTCAATTATTCTCGTAAAAGTAATAATTACATGACTGCGTACAAACGAATGTCTCAACTAAAATACATTTTTTGTCTGATATTTTTATTAGAGAAAAATATTTTATAATATTTTTCTATTATTTAATAACTATGATGTATTCAATCCAGTTTCTAAAAAAAGTTTTACAATAAACCCAAAAATGGCTTTAAAAATCAAAGAAAACATGTTGCGTACAAACGATTGTCTATCACTGAATATGTTATAAAATATTTATAAAGTTGCGTCAAATAAACGCAATATTTATTTCATGTTCAGACTTGAACAAATATTTGATGGTATTGTTTTATCAAACTGTGCAAAAATAATTTGGTTCAAACACAAACATGTTTTGCAGCCACAGTATATCGTATATTTTTATGCAAGAAAAAACAATTTAAAAATTTGTTTTAATTTTAACTATTTTTATTAGGTTTAAAATTAAATTTATATCAAAAAAGTGTATAATATTAATATATAACCCGATTGAAAAAACTTTATTTGTCCAATCTGAACACAAAATATTATTGTTAACAAACGGCAATGCGAATCATTTTCATAAAACAAATTAATTTGCGGGCAAATAAATACATATTTTCTCATTGTTTCATCAATGTGAACACCAAAAGTCAAATAATTTACATCATTTTGGCAAAATAATTATTTGATCTTGCAAACCAAATGTAAGATCAAACAGAGCCAAATAATATTTATTTTCTGAGAAAGAGTGTTATCACCTCATACAAAAATGTAAATAGTACCTTAAACCCAGCAAAATTTTCATGAATTTCGGTAATCGGTAATAGTCATTTCCTAGGTTACAAAGTAATGAGTGATACATATTAATCTCATTATTTCAAATACAATAATAATTAGTTGCTTGTAATGATCTAAATATGTACTTATATATATTGTTACATACAATATTTAAAGTACTTGCATGTAACAGGTGTAATAACCTCATATTTTAGTAAATAAACTACATACTTTAAATAAATATGAGTCTAACATTTATAGTTTCCCAAATATATATTGCTGATTGCAGATATCTATATTGTTGAACCGCCATTTTTTAATACAGTGGACGTCCACTAGTACGAATTATATAGTGTCAGGCCCTTTCGTAATACCGAAAAATTCGTATTATTGAACAACACATTTTGTATGTTTAAATTCAAATAATACACATAAAATATTGGATTTTATTTATTTTTGTTTTATTTTTCATGAAAAATTACATAACAGAACAAAATATAATAAATTTGTATTATTTTAAATAAATTTCTTGTACATAAACAGGCATAAAACATATTTACGTATATGAATTGTTAATTTTGAAAGTATCGTGAGTCCAATAGTTGAAATGAGATATATGTAGAAGGTTTTAAATTTTAATGTTTTTAAAAAGATATGTGCCAAAGACAATTTGCAATTTACATATGTGTTCTAAAATGTATTAAAATGTTCATTGTTTGGAATGTGGAGTCACACTATAAATATCATTTTACTTATTAAAAAATCCATCATTTAACATCGATGTTTATTACATTGTAAAATAATTCTTACGGCTTTTTCAATAACAGCGCTTTTGAGGCTTCAATATTGTTCTCAGCAGAGTTATTGTCGGGAACTAATAAAAGACTTTCCTCATTGGCGTTATCATCCAATTTAATTTCTTCTCT